CTCAAACTCAAAGAGGTTTGTCCACCTCTGTCTCCCAACTGCTGGGATTAAAGGTGTACACCACCAACACCCAACCGATGACAATATTTTTAATGTAAGATTATTTTTAAAAAGTCATAAATTCCACAAACATTAGTAAAGCTCAGATACTAACTTATATAAGCTATTTCTCGAGGACTAGGTGCCACGTCTCACATAATTCTTACAACTGTGCTTATTATACCTTTCTTACAGATACTAATACTGAGGCTCAACGTATGGAAATAATTTGCCCAACTCCAAGTGGACCTGCCTACAGATGGTAACATCACACACAATACCCACTATACCTCTTGTATATACTCTCAATTAAATTATAAAAACTGCTTGACATGATTTCATTTGCCCACATAAATTCCCGAGGCGCCAGTCACCAGACCGTTAAAACTAGCTGTCAGTGGCCAATCTACTCTTCAGATCCATGTAAATTAATGCAATTCTCCTCTTTCCTGCACTAACTCAACAGGGCTGGCCACTCTTTTTAAAAACTAAATGCAAGAAAGAACATGTTTAGAGAGCATTTTTCCAAAGCTAGAATCAGGCGTGAAACCAAGGCCACAGCTCATAAAGGGTCAACCCACAGTGAACTCACCCTACACAGACTGGATCCATTCTCTTATCCCCTACTACCACCACCAACAACAAAATAAATAAATAAACAAACAAACAAACACACACAAATGGAAAGATGAAATGGATTTAACCAAAATACCAGATTTCTACCCTTGTGCTGTCACTAATCTGGGGCATCTTACCTCACCAGGTATCAGGCTCCTTACCTATAGGTAGATGGAGTTGAACCGGGGCCTCCCTACCATTATTTCAACTCTTGGAATCTTACAGTGAAGAATGGGCCGCTAAATGAGTTTACATAACTTTGAAAATCCTTTCCACTTCCCAAGTTCTCAAACGATAAAGTGCAGGCCAGTGATCGACCTAGAATAAAGTACTCTTCTGCGAAAGGATTTCAAGTTCTGACAACATTTCAGACAGAAAGATACAGTGTTACACGGACGCAACTGTGTGGTCCCCAGGCAACTGGGTGATCCCAACATCTTCAGCCCGCTACGAGATGAGGGCATCCTGAATGCATGTGGCGGCTAAATAACTGAGAAAGGAACAAGATAGGAAAAAAAAAAAAAAAAAAAGTAGAAGCAACTTGATGCTTGGACCTAAATCCGCTTAAGGCAAGTGGCATAGACCAGCCTACAAAGCCAGTACCTCATCTGACAGGTGCACAGTTTACACAACTCACTCACAAGCTTCTTCCAGTGCCGACGGGTGGTTAAGCTAAACGTAGTACCTAGTGACAACTTCAGCCTTGCCACTTATTCCGCACACGAACTCAAATCAGAAACGCAGGCGGCTACCTGCGAGGTGGAACCCCGGAAGCCGTGGACTTTTAAGTCTTGGGGTGTCCGGGACTTCCTCGCTCATCAGGAAGGCCTCCTCCCTGCACCTGGGCTAGCCTACCCTCCAGACCCTCGCGAGGCGCCGGCAGGCAAGGCTCTCGCTCGCTCGGGCCGTAGTCCCCGGTTAGCAGCCCCACCTGCGCGCCGCGCGCCGCGGCCCCGCCCCTCCCCCACCCGTCCTCACCCTAACCCTCGCCCACCCGGCTGCCGCAGGCCCACGCGTGGGGCTAGCCGCGTGCCTACGGCGACGGAGATCTCGGAGTGCCCCTTCTTCCCTCCGTTCTGCTTCTTCCCTTCACCCGGCACCCTCCGACTCCCGACGCCAGGGCTCTCCCTCACCTCAGTCCGGTCCGCGGGTCTCCCCCGCTGGCTCGTCCGGCCGCGGGCTCCGGGACGCGCTCGCTCCCGCAAAGGCGTCTGGGTGCGCGCACGCTCAGGGCTCCGGCAGCGGAAGGGGCGGGACCTGTGGGGCGTAACCTAAACGGCGGGGCGGGGCGTAGTGAGCGGGACGGGCAGGGGTGGAGCCTGAGGCAGCACCAGAACAGCTCTGGACCTGTCCCTAGGTCCCTTCCACGTCTTTCATCCTTTCCACCCTTTCACGGGCTGCTAAAGCAGAGCACAGCGTAACCAGGAGCCGTGCTAACCACTTGTTGTGTGACAGAATTTGTCCTAGTTGACGTCTGCTCACCATAGGGATCCAATGCCACCAAAGTCCAACTTGATGAACCAATGAGTGTTATTGGGGTTACTTACAGGAGTATGGGTGAGGGGGCTACTTATAAGAGCAGAAATGACTCAAAGACAGCTGCATCACCAAGGCCCACCCCAGCATGCGTGACAGCTCACAAAAGCAGGGAACCTGGGACACACTACATAGCCTGCAGGCAGCTCAACAGGCTGGAGAATGTCCTTTCCAGCTGCCTCAGTTGCTCTAAACCTCTTCCAGGTGAGCTCAGCTGCTTTCTGCTTCTTTCAGGCGGCTGGTCTGGTCTAGAGTCTTTGCAGCTCCTTCCCTCTCGGAGTCCTCTTTGCAGCTCAGTCTCCTTCCACCTGTGGGGGACTCTCAGCTTTATCGTTTGGTCTAGTGGAGAGGAGCCTAGGGAATCTGGTCCATTTCAGGGACTTCCTGAAGCTGAGAACTACCCTGCAGGAGGAGAAAACTTACAGCAGCACCGCTCTATGCAAAAGGCTTTGCTGAGCCCACCAGAGAGTGGAGAAACTCTTGCAGTGTGAAGGTTGGCCAAGTAGAATACCCACCCTCGCTGGAGAAGCACAAACATGGAAACCCGTACTCTTCTCACTCATTGTCACTGCTCCTCTTGACTAACTGCGTCTTATTTAGAAATAGCATCTTCTCAAGTATCTCCAGCTTTACTCTCTAGTCCTATAAAGACTATCCACAGTTCTTTTCAGTTTAGTAGACACGTCAGAGGAGCAGGGCATGCCGTGCTAATGTCCTTCCCTCAATGGAAAATAGTGCTTTTCAAATATAGCTGAATCTTTGTGCCCCTACTGGCTCCACAGATATTCGTAGATTCTGTGAGAGTTATAAACCAAGTATAATGAACTGATGAACTATGAAATGTACATAGGAATAAAATGAGCACTATGAAAACCGTATGAAGCATCGTTCTGCGTGACCAGACAGGACAGCATCAATACATTACCATTTACGTCCGACTTTATTTTTAGAGCAGTTTTAGGGTCACTGCAAAATTTAACGAAGAATAGGTTTGCCACAAATTCCCTGCCCCTGCCCACACTCAGAATCTTCACCCACACAGGTGGGATACTTTTTTTATAATTGATGAATCTATGCTGATGAATCTGAGTGATAATTGTTTCGCTGCCCGCCCGCAAAATTAAGCTATTTTCATTAATTAATTTAAAATTTTAATTAATCTCTTCCCCACCTACTCATCTTTACTTCTCTACTTCCGCAACCAGCGATCTTTTAACTGTCTCCATCACTTTGCCTTTAAGCTTGCCATCCCTGAGACGTCCTAGTGCTGCTAGAGCCACTGTGCCACCATTCTTCTCTTTCTGAGACAGTAAATAATGTGGTTTGGGTTTGGGTGGTGGGGATCCGATGTAGGCACCCTGCCTCTGAGCCACACCCAAAGCCTTGTATTGTTTTGATATTAATTTGAAGTTCCCTGGTGATAACAAACATGGAGTGCATTTCCATATGTTCATTTGTTATTTGTATATTCTTTGCTAAGGTGTCTTGGGCCATTTTACACTAGGGTTGTTTGTTTCTTTTCTCTTTTTTATTTATTTTATTTTTCCATTCAAAAATTTACACTTCCTCCCCTCCCTCCCCCTCCCTTCTTTCCTCTCTTTTTGAGTTTATGTTCCTTTTCTATTTTGGATAACGATCCCTTATCAGACAAATCATCTGAAAACATTGTTGCTGGGTCTGACTCCCCCTTCCCATCTCTTGCTCTCACTCTCTCGAATTCTGTCTTGGTGGTAAACATCCTTAAACTGTGTTCTGTTTGGTTTTTCTTTCTTTGTTTTGCGCCAGGAGCCACGTGACTTCTTCATGGGACAAGGCCTGAGAATAGCACAAATTCTTGTGATTTGTTTTATTTTACAGTACAAACACGGGGCCTTGTACATACTAGGCAAGCGTTCTACCCTTGAGATCTCTCCAGCTCAAGTCATTTCTTCCTGACAGCTGGACAAGATGTCCTGGTTAAAAAGAATTTCTAGAGGCAGGCCTTTAGTGAAGCGCTAAGTTGAGGGGGAAGTGGGACGCACTCTAGGGCCCTATGACTTGGCTTTAAACGTTCTCAGTATTTACTATGAGAACCTGAGGAGCAAATGAAACATAGGACCCCTTCCTTCCCCAATGTTTTGATGATCTCCTGGAATTTTTGAAAGTATGTGTGACTGTGTGTGTATGGGCATGTGCACAGAACAGGTGTCTGAGGAGACCAGAGGTATCCGATCCCCAGAGCTCCAGTAACAAGTGGTTATGAGTCACCCAACATGGAGTTTACCTTTAAAAGAGTCTTCCAACCCTGCCTTGGAGTTTTTTGCTCTCAGATTTCTCCACACTGAGCCTCCAATCATTCATCTTAGTTAGGTTTTCCTATCCCAACTGGCCTTGGTTCCCTTAGAGGGTTTTACTCTTGAGGATGGGATTTTCTTTTCTTTTTTGTTTGTTTGTTTTTAGAGACAGCGTTTCTCTGTAACCTTGGTGTCTGTCCTGGAACTAACTCTTGTAGACGAGGCTGGCCTTGAGCCCACAGAGATCCGCCTGCCTCTGCCTCCCGAGTACTGGGATTAAGGTCATGTGCCACTACTGCCCGGTTATTTCAAAGTTCTTGAATGGCAGATTAGGAACCAGAAACTAAAGGGTAATATTTTGAAGAGGGGAGTGTTAGGCCAGGGTTTCACTCTGTAGCTTAGATTAACCTAGAACTCACTATGCAGGCTAGGATGGCTTGTGCCAATAGGTGCAATATTTAAAAGAAACTATTTAACCACATCAGTAGTCCCTACACACACACTCTCTTACACACACACAAACAAGAAACATAATTATTAAAAAAATATTTATTAATTTTTACACTTGCTGGGTAGCACAAGACTATTAACACTATAACCCACTGAATATACAATAAATGTTCACATTTAAATAACAGGATAGAATCAATACTTTCAACCAATGGGCCAGCTTCAACATCTCATTAGGTGTTTTTTAGCTCTCGATGTTTTGAGATTTTTTTTTTTGAAAGGACAATTCCAGGTCAGAAAATAATTCAAGAACATCAAAACAGAAAGTCTTTCCAGAAAAACAGGAATATTACATGATGAACTATCCATTTCTCTGGGCACAAACTAAACAATAAAAATGTTAAAAATCTATATCCGACCCACTTCAAAGTATTCACACTGTACTGAATGCAGTCTACAGTGTCACGGTATCTGAGGAAAGATTACCATGTAGACACTGGAACATGCATATTCCCCAATTCAGGCTGTCAGAAGGATTACACTCTGCCATCCCTTCTGATACCTTGGGATAAATTCATAAAATACCTGATCTTAAAGTGGTGATGTCTTCACTGCCACCCACATCTCTGGCTGATGATATAGTTATGGTATTTATTTATTCCATATAAGAACCAAAAGAAAAAAGAAAAAAATTTAGAAGGGAAAAAGACAAAAGTCCTTCAACAGTATTTTTCCTCTGTGTATTTTAAAACTTCAAAAATAACTAACCCAAAACCAACATTCCTTCAGTGATTGGCTTTTTTATTTTAATCACTGGGCTATTCCTGAGAAGTGGGGAAGATACTCTGCTGGCTCAAATTAAAGAGAATCCAACAGGTCAAAATTATTTGTTTATTTATTTTGGTTTGTTTATGTTTTCCAAGACAGAGTTTCTCTGTATAGCTCTGGCTGTCTTTGAACTCTTTGTAGACCAGAGTGGCCTCCAAATCAGAGATGTACCTGTCTTAGCCTCCTGTGCTGGAATTAAAGATGTGCACCACCACGCCAGCTCTAATAGCCCAATTTAAATTACAGGAACTAGAACTGTGCCTTCGAGATGGCTGAGACTCTGTGATAGTTAGCTATTTATTACACTCCAGGACTTTGGGAACCAAAGTCTTACATTCTTGTGACTTGGAGTCAACATTTTATGTTGAAAATATTGTTACCTTTTTATTATCAAAGATACAGAGTTCATTTTCAGTTTCCACACATTTTTGAGGTAATTTTCTCAAGTTCTTTTCATGCCCAAATCTTCAGACATAAGTCTATGAACGAGATCTCAAAAGGAAAGTGCAGAATCTACATAATAGTGACTTCAAAACCAAATGTTTACTTTTCAGGAAGGTGTCTTTACCACACAGAAGATAGTCTATTTCTTAATTCACAGACCCAGTTTTTCCTCAGAAATGTAAATAAAATAAATTAGTTAACTTCATTTGAAATGAACTTAGGACTTCCTGATCTGGAGTGGTAAATTCACTCTACAATAATTATTTTTAAAATGTATGTCACAAAAAGTTGTTAAAATACAAGCTTTTAAGATGTCTTCTGAGTACAACTGGAATGTAAAAAGAAGGGCAATACTTCCCCACTAGATCCACAGCAAACAAGACTCCCAAACAGGACACATAGAAGACAACTATCACACAGAAAACTGCTTTCCTCTCCCAACCAATGTTAATTCTCCTCCACACCCATCCTTTACCTCATTATTACGATGGTCCCCTTATTTTTCTTTGCCCTAAGTGGGAAGTTGGTCATCTTATAACAAGATCTGGGTGAATTACAATATGCTTAAAGTTTAAAAAGCTTAGGAATAAGAAAGACCACCTTTCTACCCAAGTTCAAAGACTCTTCATTTTTAAGACAGTACTGAAAGTACTAAAATACACCCAATAATGTGAACACAGGTGTGATGCAGGGACCAGCATTGTAGGTCAATGTTGGAGAACCTGTAAAACATGCAAGAGGCCCTGGGTTTTGATTCGCAGCATCACAAAGTGTTATACATACACCTGATGAACCCAGTAGGAGTAAGGAACTCAACCTTTACTAATGAGCAGTAAATGAATCCTGCCAGGCAGGGCAAGGTTTCAGCTCTGTCTGTCTGTCTTTCTCTCTCCATATGTATATGTATGTGTATATATATATATGTATCTACATATATATGTATCTACATATATATCCTAAATTTATATTTTTAGTAATTTTTCATAGAACTAGTATTTCCTTCTTAAACACAGCTATATATAACCAGAAGCTTGGAGGCAGAGCTTTAATGTAGGGGCTTTTTAAATCCTGTTGAGATCATGCAACCTTTTGACTTCCAGGGAGTCTATGCTTGTGGACCGTGAGGCCAGATCTGCTGGGGTCAGCATCTGTGAGGAGCACCACCACTGCCCCTTAGGTTTTCCCAAATAAGAAAGATTAAAAACAACTGCCATGATGGGTGCCTGACTGTAGTCCCAGCTACGTAGGAGAGGCTAAGGCAGGAGGATCTCACGAGCCCATGAGTTCAAGGCTGTACTGGACAGCACAGTGAGCCCTCATATAGGAGAGAGAAAGAGAGAGATCAGCAATAAGAAAATTTTAGATGACAGTTTCTCCTTCAGAATACCACCATCAAACCTTTATCTTATCATTTTAAAGTCTTCATCCAATAAGCTGCCTTTGTTAAATTACTGAAAACTCAAATGCATGAGATAAAGTGGTTCTGACCTAATCACACCCATGAAGTAAGTACTCCTTCTCTTTTGATGCCATAGCTTGGATTTCAGAAGTCCAATGACCATGGACTTGGAACATCCTGTGTCCACCTTTGGTATGAACATAATATGCCACTTAGTATTTCCACAAAGGGACAGTAAGGCTTGTCAGTGTGTTCAAAAATGAAAACAAAACAAACAACCAGCTCAAGAGCAAGGCCGAGTTTCTCCATCTGGAAGTCAACTTTCCCCTGAAGGAACTGCATTCCATGGCAGAAATCCCAAGGGTTTGAAGAGTCAATTGGGTAAAGATGACCTTGGCAAAAATCACCCCTGGCATATGTGTGTCAAAATTGTAGTTTTCAAACTCTTGATGAGTAATAAATCTTTAAAAAGAGGTCTAGGTGTTTGAAGCTTCAGATTTCGAATTAGAAGACGTGATGTGAGCTCTGGATTCCAGGGGTGGGATGAAATCTACGGTTTGGTGATATGTACTTCGCTGCTCCCGCTCCCATTGGTGGTGGTCGTGATGATGTACTGTGTGGTCTGCTGTTGGCTGGGGCTTGTGGAGTCCAGGGAGTCACTGTGTGCAGAGGGTTGAACCTGGACTGCACCAGAGAGGGTAGAGGTTTGCTTTTCCTCCAATTCTGGTTGACTTTCTGCCAATACATAATGACCCTAGAGCAAAAGAAAAAGATCCTTTAAAAGAACTGGAATCTGGAAGAAAGCAAGGGAACTACTGGAAGAGAGGAGCAAGCATCCAAAGCAATGCTTCAAGGGGACCCAAACAGGTACCTCTGAGAGATGCTTTACCTGCGTCCTTTCTGGAGGATGGCTAAGTCACAGTAAGTGGCTCCAAAGGTAACTCAAAGCAGCACCTTTGCTGTGTCATCAGATAACACAATGAGGAACCTTAGAGACTGTGAGGCATGCTAGTACCTTACTTGGCAAAAAAGTTTTTTTAATGAAAATAAAATAAAATATGTTTTTTTAAAAAATTGCTCCTAAGAATTTAGAAACTTAATGCCAATTAAGTGTTAAAATTCATCCAAAATGAATGATAAGGTCTCTGTAAAGGGGCAGCCTGATATTTAAGACAGGTCTTCAACATTAATGGTTCCCAGCTAATAGAATTTCAAAGTCTAATAGCATTTTAAAGTAATGCTAATGGGGCTGAGGAAATAGCTCTGTCAGTTAAGTCTTTGCTGCCAAAAGCACAGAGAACTGAGTTCAAGTCCTAGAACTGGGCCCTCCACAAAGTATCAGGGCACTCAATGTACTCCCAGTGTTATGGAGGGAAATAGAAGTAGATTCCGGGGCCCTAAAATCCATGAGCTCCAAGTCAGTAAGAGACCTTGTTGCATTAAACAAAGTGGATGACTCCTGAGGAATAACACCTGAGGTTGACCTCTGGCTGTCCCCCAACACACACACACACACACACACACACACACACACACACACAAACTCACACGATATATTAAACGAGTCCTAAGTTTTAGTTTTCCAAGTAAAAACATTTAGAATACTAGAACAAAGGCTGGAGAGATGGCTCAGTAGTTAAGGGCATATGTCCTCTGTTCATAGAGAGAACACAAGTTCAGTTCCCCACATCTGTAACTCAGCTCCAGAAAATCTGATGCCCTCTTCTGGTCTCCTCGGGTACCTGAATTCACATGCAGGTAGTCTACTTGCTCCCACAAACATACATTATTAAACAATATTTTTATTTTTTTTAAATATTTATTTATTATGTATACAATATTCTGTCTGCAGGCCAGAAGAGGGCACCAGACCTCATTACAGATGGTTGTGAGCCACCATGTGGTTGCTGGGAATTGAACTCAGAACCTTTGGAAGAGCAGGCAATGCTCTTAACCACTGAGCCATCCCTCCAGCCCCTATTAAACAATATTTTTAAATATCTTTAAAAATAAAATAATTTGCTACCCTCATCAAGTATGTGCTTTCTACTTGAGAACATAGGAAAGGGGTTAGGAGTGCAGCTCAGCAGTAGCATGCATGAGGTCCCAGATTCAATGTACAGCACGCACACAAAAAATAAATAAATATTAAAAAAGAAAGCATGGGAAGAATATAGTTTTAGAATATAGCTCCTTGCACTGAATAAATTTAAGGGAACTCTCACATTGTCTTCACTTTTTTTCTCATTTTTTCCCTTTGATCATGAGAATTTCATACATACAAAATGGGCATTCATTCATTATATTAATTTTTTAGATGCAATCTTATTTAGCCCAGGCTAGCCTTAAACTCACTCTGTAACTGAAGATGACCTTGAACTCTTGATCCTTTTATCTCCACCTCTAAAACACTTGGATCATAGGCATGCACCACTACACTTAGCTTTGTATTAGCATTTTTAAAGAAATAACATTTCAGACAGAAGGGCAAGATGCTATGACAGGGACAAGCGTCCCTGTCCCTCAAGAAAAGGTTTCTCTGGGTAGCCCTGGCTGTCCTGTAACTCACTCTGTAGAACAGGCTGGCCTTGAACTTAAGATATTCGCCTGACTCTGCTTCCTGAGTGTTGGGATCAAAGGCATGCACCACCACTGTCTGGCAAGATCCCCCATGTTTTAAAGGTTTGGTCCCTAGGTGGCAATCTTGGGAGGCAGTGGAACCATTAGGATGTGAGGCCTCATGGGAGGTTCTGGGGTCACTGGGCACAGGCCCTGAGATACCCGGCCCCATCCTCTTCCTTGAGAGTGACTCACTGAGCCAAGCACTCTCACCATGTGCTACCGAGGCCCAGAGCAACAGGACCACTGGCTCAATCACAGAGTGTAACCTCCAAAACCATGAACTGAATAAACCTTGGTTATTCATTCTCTCAGGTTATAATAACATGAAGCTAAACAAAGGGAAAAAAGAACTCAGAGAGGAAAACTCAGGCAGTCTTTCCAAGCTTGTTCAGAAAACAAGCTATAGCAAATAACCACTGACTCACCTAGGGCTGAATTTCTTGGCCCCTACCCTGAAGCAATTTCAGATTATGATTTACTTTCCTGTGGCTCTTCCTCTGGAGTAGGGGCTGTTTATTCACCTAGGACCCACTAAGCTTTAGCAAAGGAACATTTTGTAGTGAGAACATTTAAGATCTGGTCTCAGCAATTTTCAAGTAGCCACCATGAAATACACCAGATCTTCAGAGTTTTTTCCCAAAAAAGTTTTTGTTGCTGTTCTGCAATGCTAGAGACTAAACCCAGGCCTCACACAAGTTCAGTATGTGTGCTGCCACTAAGCCACACCCCTACTTCTAAGAGAATTTTTCTTTTTTTGTTTGTTTTCTTTTGTTGTTGTTGTTTTTTCAAGACAAGGTCTCACTATATAGACCAGGCTGGCCTCAAACTTACAGAGACCCAACAGCCTCTGCTTCCCAAGTAAAGGCATGTGCCACTACCCACCTACCCCAACCCCTGCCAAGAAGTCTCTTAACTGAAATATATATATATATATATATATATATATTTCAGTTAAGATATACACACACACACACACACACACACACACACATATATATGTGGAGAAATGGGCTGGAGAAATGGTTCAATGGTCAAGAGTACTGATACTTCCTAAAATACTTCCTGAAAACCCACATTCCCAGCATCCACATGGCAGCTCACAAACGCCTATATCTCTAGCTTCAGGGAATTCCCTGCCCTCTTCTGGTCTTCACAGGGACTGGATACTTAAGTGTACAGTGTGTACATACATAATGTGTATATTATGTATGTACATAAATGCAGATACACACATAAAATAGTCAATCAAATTTTGAGAAAAAAATCTTTTCCAAATAACTTAGAGATAGGCCAGCATAAACACAAAAATAAAAACATAATACATACAATCAATATGGTTAAATATTGCTCAAGTTAAATAAATATGCTAATTGATGGCAACACCTCTTTATGTAGTTAAATGATGTAAAGCAGTTCGACACTAGTCAAGCATGGATGCTCATGACTGTCATCATACAAGTTCCAGGTCATCTGGGGCTATATAGCAAGACCCTGTCTCAACATTCCCCACCTCCCACAAAAGCTCTGTAAACCAGGGATGTTAGTGGTACATGCCTGGAATCCCAGTACACAGGAAGCTGAGGAAGGAGGATTGCAATTTTAAGGTCAACTTGGCTTACATAGTTAAACCTTGTCTCAAACACACACACATACACACACACACACACACACACACACACACACCATATAACTGATTGATTATATTATTCTTTCCCAGCTAAAGTCTTGTAAAATTTATAAGAAGTCCATAAAATTATAATCATATGAATAGATCTAGGAAGTTTGTTGTAGTTAGGAATTGAATCAACATTCCCTGCGCATTATCCTCCTGAGCAATGAACTAAAGATAAAAAAAAAAAAAAGACCAGCTTTCTGAGCCATCAACTATGAAAAAACAGACTAAATCAACCAGTTTAAAGAAGTAGGAGGCCTGGGGAGGTAACTCAACGGTAGGTTACCTACCCAGCATGTCTGCATGTACAGGTAGCTCTGGGTTCTATTCCCAGGACTTCAAAAGGAAGGGAGAGAGGGAGAGCAACTATGACCACGTTATAACACAGTCCTGGCAGACTCACCGGAGTCACTGCTTTCACTTGCCCGGAGGTGACAGGAGTTGCCACACCACTGTCTGTGATCACAAACTGACCTGGGGGCAGCGTCATCATTTGAATTTCAGATGCTGAAAACAGGAAATAAACAAAATTCAGTGGTCTTCAGATTTTAGTGTAAGTGCTGAAAGAAACAAATGCTTCTGTGCTTATCTTATGGCTTGCACCCAGTAAAGTCATGAACTCAAAAGACAGGGAGTGGAGTATATTTTGTGAACACACACAAATGGCTAGGTACTGTAGCACACACTCTAATCGATACTGGGGAGGCAGGGGGATTTCTATGAGTTCAAGGCCAGCCTTGCCTACATCATAATTCCAAGATAGTCAAGACTACAAAAGTAGACCCTGTTTCAAAAATAAAGATTTATATATACCAAAAAAAAAACCCCCAACACACATAAATTACTAAGTGTTATAGCTTAGTCCATCCTATCCTAACATATTTAGAATCTGCATAGCCACAGGGGACAGATCTACCAGGCCCAGTCAGAGCAACAAAATAAGATCCCCACCTGAAAAGCAGGAACCCCAAATGGTGTATGGTTGTGTTCTTGCCACACCAGCATAATCCTATGCTGAAAATCTTAAATGCACTAGGCCTGGTGGCATAGGTCTCTAACCTCTGGAAGTTAACACAAGAATTTTCTTTTTTTTTTCAGATAGGGTCTCTATTCCAGGATAGCCTCACACTTACTATGTTATAGAGAATAACCTTGAATTTCTGGTTGTCCTACCTCCCATCTCCTGAGATTATAGGCATGCAATCCCATGCCCAGTTTATACTACGCTATGGATTACACCTGAGGACTCCTGAACACTAGGCAAATGCTCTACCAGTTTAGCTAGATCCCCAGCCTTGGCTACATAGTGTGTTTGAGGCTTGCCTCGGCTATATGGGACCAAAAGAAGATCCTAAGTGCCAAGTTGGAGAACTGTCAGTGCTCACACTGCTACTGAGACAGTTCCCAGGTTTTCCATGCTTGCAAAACCTTATGATGGTGGTCTTGCAATCTGATGCCCCCATTTTGTTTTGTTTTTTAGACAGGGTTTCTCTGAGTATCCCTGACTGGGCTAGAACTCAATCTATAGACGAGGCTAGCCTGTCTCTGCCTTTGGAGTACTGGGATTAAAGGCGTGCACCACCACATCTGGCCTGATATGATTTCTTTCTTTCTCTCTCTCTTTCTTTAATAAACTTATTTATTGATTTATTTTAACTGATTTCTTGAGTGAATGGACCCCTTCACAATAATTACATGTGTGTGAAGAGACTGATACAGAGGGATAATATATACAGGAAACAACCAGTGCCTCCTCACTCAAAAATGGCTTCCAATTGCCACCAAGGTAAATACTCAACCTTTTAATCCTTAAAAAGAGTTATAAAAGTTTCCTGGCTTAGTATTTTTATCTTTTATACTCACATTTGAATTCATGACACAAATGTATCCACAGCTACCTGGTGATCACAACCGAATAACCAGCAATATTGAGGCAAATTAGAAATGAAATTTATGCTAGTGCCCTGTTAGTAGTCGCTAAAGAATATTTTCTATAAAATGGATGAGAGATGCTTAGGAGGTTGAGTGGTGCTAGCTCTGGGCAGGGATGGAAAATGAGCTGAACACTGGGTCTTCCTAGCACAGGAAAGGGTCGCGTGTGAGATACAAGTCCCAGTGTGAACAAGCAAAGATGAGGTAGCCTAGACACCCAAAGGGAAACAAAAGCAGTAGGCTCAACCACATCATGTGTTACATGTGTTACATATGTAAACTTTATGAGTACAAAATAACACACACACACACACACACACACACACAGAGAATGGTTATTTTGGATAACACAAGGAAACTGACTTACTACTTTGAAAACCAGTAAATATAACTGGTCAATCTGGCATTTAAAGTATTCTATTCTGCTTTTCCTATTCAAATCTGTATCTTTGAATAATTTTATGATTAAGACAATTTTTTCTTTTCTTTCTCTCCTTTTTGCTTTGCTTTCATTGTTGTTTTTAGACATGGTTTCACTATGTAACTGTCTAATCTCAGTTAATTATGTAGACCAGGCTGGATTCAAACTCACAGAGATCCTCTGCCCCTGCGAGGATATGTAGTAATGGTGTCTTCCCATGTAGCCCTGGATGGCCGGGCAGTCCTCCTGCTTCTCTGTCCACCAAGTGCTAAGGTAACAGGCTGTGGTTACAGATGTGAGCTACCATATCCAGCATAATCTCTATCTCTTTATAAAATGTTTCTACCTAATAATGAGTAGGAATAACAGATCAAATTAGAGAATCACAACTTTGCAAGTCCTGATGAAATGAAGAAGCTAGAGACTAAACACCAGTGGCTCCTGACACCACAGGAAGAGAAGCAGTCCACCCCTTTATCAGCTGAGTGTGGGGTTTGATATGAATCTGACCTTGAGTAAGCCTCTAGATCTAGATGCTAGTCTACAGGAAATAAAAGGAAGAAAGTACATTAAGCAACAACATGAGGATGCTGCCATCAAAATCCAGAGTGTGGAAACTACAGGACATGTGACCAGTTTTTCCCACACAGGCACACCGGTTGCAAGGGGAGAGCAAGGACATGTGAAAAGAAACTCCAAAGATGCAGTCAGCTGCAATGGATGGCCCTCATTCAGATCCCACTTCAGACCCCAATTCGAACAAGAAATTTAAAAAACTTTCTCAGGCAATCAAAGAAATAAGGATACTGATTGGGCATTGGAACTGTACTTGACGATGTTAAAGAATTATTTCCATTTACACGGGAGGTGAAGGGAGAGCAGATTCCAGGATATCCATCTTCCTCTACATGGTATGGAGCAGCATATCTTGATGATAAATGAAGTCTACCACATACGTACAGGAATGGCCCTCCCCAATAGCTGATATATTAGAGAATATATTTCAGTCCCTAAAAGTAACATGTTTGTGATAAGACAATGTTGTGGGACAATGGTCTTGTTCTCTATAAAGATTTGTCATTTGTACTGGTTTAATAAAATGCTGATTGGCCAGTAATAGCCAGGCAGGAAGTATAGGCAGGGTGACTAGGACAGGAGAATTCTGGATGAGGAAAGGCTCAGTCTGCAGTCATCACCCAGACACAGAAGAAGCAAGATGAGAATGCCTCACTGATAAAAGGTATCAAGCCACATGGCTAACACAGACAAGAATTATGGGTTAATGTAAGATGTAAGAGTTAGTTAATAAGAAAGCCTGAGCTAACAGGCCAACCAGTTTATAATTAATGTAGGCCTCTGTGTGTTTCTTTGGGAGTGAATGGTTATGGGACCCAGCAGGACAGAAACCTCTGTCAAAGAGAATAACAGCCTGTGACAGCTGCTGCATGGTCTTTGCTCTGGGCAGTAAGACACACACACAGCTGAGGCTAAGCTGTCTGCCCAGAAGGAACTTTCCCATGTAAGAGCAGAATTACAGTGGGGGAAAAAAACGTGGATGCTATCCTCAGCATTCACCTATGATTTTGTGGGGAAAATATGAAAGGGAAAGATGAGATGTAGGAATGACATAACATATTTTATAGCTGATAGAAGGCATGTGAAAGAGAATCTCAAACTTGGAACCCATGGGAAGAATTAAACAGCAAAAATGAAGAAAAGGAATGGAAGCAATAGAAGATCCCTTAGGTCTGACCTTTAATACAGAGGAAGAGAAAATCCATGACTCAGCATGTGGATGGGTGGGCTTAACAATGGCCAATACAGGAAACTACAATGACCAAGAATTTCTCTGTCTCTGAGTTGCTTGACTGGGAAAGACTTTTAAACAAGGACTGAAATAACCTGTCTCAGTCTGGCTCATGAAACTGTGGGATATAGGGATAGACTGAGTGCTGCAAAAAGAGAAACTAAGAACTAAGACTGCTCACCCTTCCTTGAAACAAAGACTCTACAATCTAACACAGACGAAGGAAATAAGTGTTTCATAGGCTGGCTCATACAAGCCATCAGAGACATTTGGTCATTACTGTTTGGGGTTTCCATCAACACCAGGAACCAGAGGTCAATAGCAGAAGGACAGTTATTACTAAAAAACTGAGTATGAGAGAGGTAGATGCTCAGTTCACTGGTCCACTATTGTGTTCACTAGAGGATTAAGAATTCAGGGGCTGGAGAGATGGCTCAGAACTTAAGAGCACTGGCCGCTCTTCCAGAGGTCCTGAGTTCAATCCCCAGCAGCCACATGGTGGCTCACAACCATCTGTACTAAGATCTGGTGCCCTCTTCTGTCATGCAGGCAGAACACTGTATACATAATAAATAAATCTAAAGAAAGAAAGGAAGGAAGGAAGGAAGGAAGGAAGGAAGGAAGGAAGGAAGGAAGGAAG